TTGACTTCTAACCATTAGGCTTCGGCATGTCTGGTGGGGGATAGTGCTGCATATCAGAGGAGTTCGGTATTTGGGGACGACGTAGTGATTGTGGCATAAGTTCTTATATTTGTTATGGAATTACTGAAGTTTGACTTAGATTTTAATTGACTGAGTGAAACTTACATGTTCTGATTATTAATTGTTAATCCATCTGAAGTTGGTGATATTGTTGTGGGCTCCTTGATTACTTTCTTAAGTTTTTATTCTATTTTGTCTCCTATACCTCCATTTGATCCCCTCTGTTTTTAGATGGATTATGATCAATTTATTCCCCTTAAACATCTTCAAGAGGGTGTTCGAGATGATGATGTTTGCTTACTTGTCATGCGGAAGTTCTCGATCTTGGCTTCTTCCAAATAGTGAAGACTCTCAACGTCATTGTATGTGATGTGGAGGTTAGTCTTCAACTATTCAGTTTGTAATCCATAATACTTCATTGTTTGATCCTAGTAAAATATTTATTGGTCATATTAAAATAAATTATGGATCATCCTCACTCACTGACGTAATATCTAAATATTGTTGATAATGGTTAGTTTGGAATGTTAATGCATTGTTTTAAAGTTATGGATCATCCTCATGTGCTGATGTAATTTCTGTGATTTTGTGGAGGGGCGTACATGGTGGTAAAAATTATAATTGAAATGAAGCTTCAAGGATCAGATAAAAGGATTGGTATTCTCATTGAAGATCTTAAAGAACCAAAAGAATCCATAGAACTACGGATGAATATCATTTTATATGTTTTCCCTTCGCATGGAACCGCTGCTTGGGTTCAATGGGAATATATAGCAAATTGGATTTGGAAGAAAAGGCAAGTTTTACAGGTTTCAGGGTGCTGTGTGGTAATTGAGCCTTCTCTATTGTCTTTTTGTTGTTCATTTAATTGTTATGGTCTATGTTGTTATTTTGGTGCTTATTGCCAAAATAGGAGTACAAAAAATAGATTTGCCTTGATCGTACGTTTCTTGGTATGTAAGTGTTGTTAACTAGATAAATTAAGCCATAAATTTACTAGACAGAACACACACACACACAACCTTATTTTTCCAAGTAATTTGTGACTTATTTGTTTGTCTATTTTTGCAGAACTGGAGAATAGATTATTGGCTCCGTTTGATGCAGCGTCGTAGAAAAGAGATTTGTCTACATGTATGAATGTGCTAGAATTGTGTCACAGGCAATCAAGCTTTGTTCTGCATACTTGTACATTTTACTATCCTTTTCCCTCATTTCGATTTTATGCACTGACTTGCCAAGAATACGTATATATGAAAAGGATTGAGTTGTTTGCCAAAAATGCATGCCGGGACAAATGACATGCTCGTAGTCTTTGTAGGTATCATCCTGTATTATATTTATTAGAATATCATTTATTTCTTTGGTTTGACTAGATAAGTTCAATAATAGAATCATTTCCAAGTTACTTTACAGAACTTTGATATCTTTTACCCGAAGTGATCTTTAAGTCGTTCTTCAACTTCTTGCGGCTTAGTTATTGGATATTCTTGAGAGCCCTTCTTGAAGAAACAGGAGTGTTTCCAGTAGCACTTGATCTCAAGGGTTCTGGAAGATATCTATTTTGGGTTCAAGGAGGTCTTGAGGCTGCTAAAGAAGAGGCATGTTTTGCAAGTTTAGTTTTATAGAATTTGTCTTTTGATTTGCTATAACAAGATGTGAAATGCAGGGCTTATTTGGTGAGATTTATGTTTTTTTGTTTTCTGTGGAGCAGGATCTTATTGAAAAGGGCCCTTTGCCTCTTAAATTTGCTCTAATTGATGGCATTTTAGAGTTTCTTGGGCTCATGACTATCTAATCTTATACTTGCCATTGTCTTCTGATAAATATATTATAAAATAATTGATTAAGTCTATTCATCCATGTTTTTTTTTTTGAGATTCTACTTTTAGATGAAACAAATGTTCTAAACTATTTAAATATAGACTATTAAAATTATCAATTTTTTATTATAACTTTAAGCTAGATCAAAAATACCAATTTCAATATTTGATAGTAAAAATTAAATCCCAAGTACTTTGAATATTGGAAAAAATTAAATTTTGAATATTCAAATTCTGAATTATCTTATTAGAATCTACAAGACTATTTTTCTAATACCAATTTCAATGCTTGACAAAAAAAAAAATCTTAGTGATTTTGAATATTGGGAAGGATTAAATTTTAAAGATTTAAATTATTGATTGTCTCATTGGAACTTAGAAAATTATTTTTCTAATATTTCACTATTAAATTCATAATTGATTGATTTTTCAATTAAAAGTCTCTCATTGTAGTGTCTCTTGAAAAATTAAAACATTCAAGATTAATTTTCTTAGAAGTTGTGTATTTGAATGTGGTTGACAGAATATTTCATGTGTGAATTATCAATTTAATTAAATTACATTTAATAATATAGTGAGAATTATTTTCCTATTCTCTCAAATATCCAAGAAAGAAACTGGTGAATAGAAGAACACTTACAAAATGTAGCAATCACATTCATTTTTATCAATGGTATCAATTATATTTATTTCAAATTTTTTAATTTTAACCCGTGCAACGCACGGGAAAGAGTCTAGTTATTTATAAAATATTGTAGCTATAGTGTACTACTGTGATTGTGATTAAATAACACTAAGCTGCATATTTTCATTACATTTCTGTTATTTCTATACGACTATAACAGACAATGATCATCATTTAGTTTAATTTCAAATAACATAAGTTTCTCTAATTCAATTGGAGACTGATTAAATTCCTCATGAATAGAAATTATACACTATAACTCTAAGTAAGGTGGAAACAGGTTGGGTTGAGCTAGGCTTTGGCCAAATAGGCTTGAGCTTGTGTGATAAATCAGAAGTATGAGCCTGATCTGAAACCTGTATAAAGCTTTTTTTATAACTAAAGCCTAAGCCTACTTAATGGCCTGCAAGCTTATTTAGAAACCTATTTAAATAGGCTCGTATTTTAATTTTAAACATCTCAAATATACTTTAATGCTATTATAATATATAATATATAGCTTAGTTTATTAATTACAATATATAAGAATTGAAAGGACTTATTAATTACAATATAATATAATAATAAAATAATAATATTAAAATTAATATATGAGTCAAATATGATTAAAAATATAACTAGAAGTAATAAAAAATAAATTAACTAAAAATTATATGGTAAAACTGATGTGTTTGTGATATAGTATATGATATATGTATATATAGTACAATATTAAATTTTAATGTGGAACCCAAATATCTTTTTCATTTAAATTCGCACACTGACCACATTCATTTATGACCACCTCGCATTAAGATAAAAATTAAAAATAATCTTAAATAAAAAAAAATTGTACATGAATCTTCACAATTTCTGGCATTTTTAGGAGTTTTCAAAAAATCAATTCTCTCATCATTTTGTTCTTATTTATAAATTACTTTTAACAAATTTTATCATAATAAAAAAAACTCTTAAGACTGATTAATTTTGTCTTTAAATTTAATAAGTATTAATTTTACTATATATATATTGTATGGGACAAAAGAGAAGACTTATAATAAAAAGTCAGTGACATACTTTGATTCTTAATATAAGACAAACTTAATTAATTTTGTGATTATTAAGAAATAACAGTTACTATATCTTTAAAATTATTAAAAATATATAATATAACTTTTTTTCTATTTTACACTCCTTCAATCAATAATCATAATAAATTGTTCCCTAAAAATTCAAACGATTACAAATAGATAAGGGACAAAATTAAAAAAATAGTAATTATTCTTACTTTTCCTTATATTAAAAAAAAACTCTTAAAATTTGCTTTATAATAAGGACAAGAGGGATTCTTTGGGGAAAAAAAAAAGAATAAAAAATTCCTCTCTAGTGGCCTCACAAATAGAATTGGGCCGACTGTGTAAAAATGGCATGGCATGGCAAGGCCAGATCCCGACTCAGTGGCCCAAAACCTTAACTGATTCATTGAAAATCATTTGTTGCCCCAAAAAAATCATTGAAAACAATTTTCGTATTCATGTTTAAATAAAAAATTTTGTCATTAAAATTAGAAATTGTAATTCACCAAATAAAATTTTTTTTATTCAAGAAATTCAATAAATCAAATAAACTTTAATTGATGAACAACATCAATCATGTAATGGATATTATATGCAGATATTTTCTATTTATTCTCTTTTATTGCCGTAAATGTAGTTTATGAATATAGTTGTGACACAAATGATAGTACATCATTTATTACAGTATATTTTCTCTATTCTCATTTATAAGGTATAATTTAAAGATCGATTTGGTCTTATTTAAAAGTCATGGTGTAGCTCTTCAAGTAATATTTAAAAAATATTTTTAAAATTATCCTTTACGATAAATAAAAAATAATATGACATTATTTTTTAAAGTTGTTATATAGAAATATATTTAAAATTTTATATATTTTTTATTCTTTTTAGTTTTTTCAATGATATTAATAATGTTAGTGAGAATGGCTTATATAAAGCACGGGCAATGTCATGGACAATTATTTGTATAATTATGGGGCTATAATAAGTTTTTGCATTATAAAAGATGACATGTAATTAGTAGCCTGTCATGCAATACAAAGGCAGAGGGGAGTGACACCAAAATAATAATTGTTAAAAATAATTAGTAGAGACATTATTTTTTGAGTTTTTTTTTTTTTTTGAGCAGAACATTATTTTTTTAAATTAAAAGGTAAATTTCTCCCTGAACTTTCTCGTAAGGTATAACTGGTGTCTTTAAGTTTTAAAAAGTGCAATGTTTTTTAATTTGTACTTTGAAAAATAACGCAATCTTGCCCAATTTTAACAGATATAAGCGTTTGAGTGTCAATTGACTTGATTATGTTCAGGTGGCATGCCAACGTGGCATCTATCTCAATTTTTTTTTTTTTTCTCTTGAGTCAAAACTATGCTTAATCATCGTCAATCCCCCTCTCTCTCCAACTCTCCTTTGCTGCCGCAACTATCAATCTTCCAGAACCAGTGAAAACCATTTGCGCTTTTGCCTATGTGCATCCATTTCGGTTTAGCCTTCTACATGAAACCCATTTTTGTTTAGCCCTCCAATTTCATCGTTCTTCTTCATTCATCTACCCAAATCTCACAACCAGATCTAGATTTTTGTTGTTGTTGAAATCGATCACTAGTGGAATAAGAATAGCCTTGCTGCAGAATGCAAATTTTTGAGTGTGAGAGGAGAGATGGAGAGAGAGAGAGAGAGAGAAGGCCATGGATTTTGGGTAGCAAGGTAAAGAAGAAGGGTTGAAACCCCAAAGCTGGTGTCCAAATGGTTGGTGGATCCTATGCTTTGCGTTGGTTTCATCGCGTCGAAGTACCGAAGGCGAAGAGTCGATGATGGTGCACGCGGGGATGCTTAATCTCTTCCGGTCTTTGTTCCACCCATTCCAAAACCAGGTTTGTTCCTTTAGGAAGTTTCGGATATTTTCCAATCCTCGAAATCTGAAGAGGAAACAGTAAACACCTATGCCAAAACCCTCGCCTAAGTTGTTCGTCTATTGCTACTATCTCATATATAGGTTTTGGTGCTAATATTTTTGAAAAGCTATTGAACACGAGGAAGCCATCAAATCTTAAAGATGCAGGGTGTCGTTCGACGATTTCTGGCTTGAGTTTTTTGCTTTTGGGATGTAATTTTTTTAATTTTTGGTTCGATTTCTGGGTTTAATCGACGATTTCTGTTCTTGATTTTTGTGATCTTCAATATTTTGTTCTTGAAGAAGAGGGGAAAAATGTCAAAGAATTTTTACTGTTGTTTGCATTACTGTTTATTTAGATCTTCTTTCAGTGCCGATGTTTCTTGAGTTGTAGGGTTTTGAATTTATGTTTCATATAATTTTCACATTCTGGGTTTGATTGTGAATTTTTTGTTGAATGCTACCCATAATGTTCTATTGTTCACCCTCATCGCTGGATCTTCTTCTGATTTGAGTTAGGATTTTAATGATGATGGGGTATGAGCAAAGCTAATGATCGAGACATTTTCTCAGTGGATAGGGAGAGATTGAATTTGCAGACATAGATTTTTGTTCTGGTTGAATGGCTTGATTCTCTGTTGTTGATCATTCTGCTTGGTGTTGCTTCATCTTTGCTCATTGTTCTCTCTCACCGATGGTTGGGTTATGATGAGGAAGAAGAAGAGAATGGATCTGTTTCTCTCTCTGTTTTTTTTTTTTTTTCCTTTTTTTGATTTTTAAAACATGCCATGTGTTGCCAGTTAGGATAAAAAGTAAGGTGGATGACACATGGGCATGCCACCTAAACTCAGTGAAGTCAACTAATGATAAAACATTTGCTTCAGTCAAAATTAGACAATATTGTATTATTTTAAAAAATATAAAAAAAAAACATTGCACTTTTTAAAACTTTTTCTGTCAATTGCACCTTGGTGAAAAATTCAGGGACAGATTTGTCCTTTTAACTCTTTTTTTTTTGTAAGAAAATCAATAACTTTTAAGTTAAATACTGATAAAATAACTTAAATAAAGATGTTGGCTACATTAATCAAATATACAAACCATATTCTGCCTATAAAAATGTATTTGAGTTATACTTATTACAGTAGTTGTAAAATTAACTCAATCTTTTTAAGATATTGTTAGGTAATATTGAAAATGATTGTCTCTGTTGAGTTATTTTTAATTTTTTTTGTGAATTTTGATTTAATGTGTTATGATATCGAGTCATGAAATGAATGAATATTATATAAATTATACAATACACTTTATTATAGCATAGAGTTCATTGCAATATATATTTTAATATGAAGATGTATATAATTAACATAATAGCAATGTCATATTGGTTTTTAATTCGACACATGAAGCATAATAAAAATTATTTAAGACATTTGTGGTAATTCTCAAAAAGGGTGAATAAAACACTATTTCCTATCGGGAGGTGAAATAATTATTAAGAACAGTAATATTGCAAGTTCTGTGAAGGAATTTTTTAAAATTTTATTTGAATTGATAACTCAAATTTGACTTAGTGAAAAATTATCACCTAAAATACTGCCAAAGGGGAGGATTTCCAAACTCATTACAATATTCACTTGAAATACAATAATACCAACACTGCATATTTTTATATTCAATCACAATAATCTTACAAATAAAGATAGAATAATTGTGACCAAAAATATCTAAATCATATTACACTTACAATGCTAATGAAAATGAAGGCATTAAAAAAAAAGTTCTTTGAATATAAAGAAGGAACAACAACAACAACAACCCTTTATCCCACTAGGTGGGGTCGGCTACATGAATTGTAAGACGTCATTGTACTCTATCATTTATCAAGCTTTTAGGAATATTATTAATTAAGAGATCGCGTTCAACAACTTTCAAGAGTGTTCTTTTAAGCCTTTCCCTACCCCTCTTAATCGGACTCAAAGTTATATGTTTCACTCTTCTCACTGGTGTCTCCCTTGGTTTTCTTTGTACATACCCAAACCATCTCAACCGATTTTCTACCATTTCTTCCTCAATAGGTGCTACCCTCACTTTTTCGTGTACGTGCTCATTTCGAATTTTATCTTTACGTGTATGTCCGCATATCCATCGTAACATTCTCATCTCTACTACTCCAACTTTATGTTTTTGCTGTTCCGTTAGAGCCAGCATTCACTACTATATAACATTGCCGGTCTAATAGCAGTGCGATAAAACTTTCCTTTAAGTTTATTAGGCACCTTATGGTCGCAAATAACTCCTTTAGCTTTTCTCCAATTAAACCACCCAGCTTGAATCCTATGTGAAATATCTCCACTGATTTCGCCATCATTTTGAATAATGGCTCCCAATGTCTAAACTTTTCCACTTGAGGTATAATTTGATCTCCCAATTTCACTTCCAAATTATTGTCGAATAGTCTCTTACCAAATTTACAATATAAATATTCCGTCTTACTCCTACTTAGATGGAAACCTTTCGACTCCAATATCCTTCTTCATAACTCAAGTTTGCAATTAACCTTTCTCTTGTCTCTACTATAAGAACTATATCATCCGCGAAGAGCATACATTTGGGAATTTTTCCTTGAATATGTTCCGTCAAAACATTTAGGATCAAGTTGAACAGATAAGGACTCAGAGATGATCCCTGATGTAGTCCAATCTTTATAGAAAAATCCTTTGTTTGACCACTAGGCATTCTTATACTAGTTTTTACCCCCTCATACATATCTTATATGGCTTTAATATAAGCAATCTGTACTTCCTTTTTTCCAACGCTTTCCAAAGCACTTTCTTGATATACGGTTATAAGCTTTTTCCAAATCAATAAAAACTATGTGTAAATCTTTATCTTTACAACAATAGTTTTCCATTAATCCCTTTAGTAGATAAATCGCCTTTGTAGTTGATCTACTTGGCATAAAATCAAATTGATTCTCAGAAATACTTGTCTCCAATCTCAACCTGTGCTTAATTACTTTCTCCCATAATTTCATTGTGTGGCTCATGAGTTTAATCCCTCTCTAGTTGGTACAATTCTGAATATCTCCTTTATTTTTATAAATAGGAATTAATGTACTTCTCTTTTACTCATTAGGCATTTTCTTGGACCGTAAGATCACATTAAATAACTTAGTTAACTATCTCACCCCTTCTTCACCTAAACATTTCCATGCTTCGACAGATATACAATTAGGTTCGTTGGCTTTACCATTTGCCATTTTCTTAAGAGCTTCCTTTATCTCGTTATCACGTATTATTCGATAGAATAACAAATTTTGTTTTCCTTCACCAGTTACTAAATTCTCCAAATTACTAGATGAACCCTCTCCATCATTGAAAAGTTTGGAAAACTAAGTCTCCCATCTATTTTTAATTTCATCATCTGTAATTAAAATTCTTCCCTCTTCATCCTTAATACACCTTACCTGTTCTAGATCCCTTGATTTTCTTTCCCTACTCTTGGCAATCTTATAAATGTTTTGTTCTCCTTCCTTCGTCTCAAAGCTCTTATAAAATTCTTCAAAAGCTTTAGAACAAGCTTCACTCACAATTCTCTTAGTTTCCGTCTTAGCCATACGGTATCTCTTCTAATTTTTCTCATTATTACACAAATGTATGGCTTTAAAACAGTTCTTCTTATACTTGATTTTGTTCTGTACACTATTATTCCACCACTAAGACTTCTTATCTCTTGGACCAGAACCTTTTGATTCTTCCAAAACTACTTTTGCAACCTCCCGTATCTTTTTAGCCATATCCTCCCACATGATGTTAGCACTTCCCTGAGATTCCTAAATTCCTTTGTCCAAAAGATTTCGCTTAAAAATATCTTGCTTCTCACCTTTTAATTGCCACCATCTAATCCTTGGTGCTACTACTTGTCGACGCTTTTGGATTTTACTCATAATACACACATCAAGGACTAGGACCCTATGTTGTGTTGTTACAGCATCTCCGGGGATCACCTTGCAATTTTTACAAAGTCTTCTATCTGTGTTCCTAACCAAAAGAAGGAAAATAAAAAAAATTATCAATAAAGAAATGATATTACAAAAAATAACACTAAATTAACTTATCTAATCACCAAAATTTGTTTAAATAACAACTTGTCTAATCAATGAACATTGCTCCAAGAAATATGAAATTATAACTACTTATATTAAATGGATTAAATCCACATGTTAAAATTGACGTGGCATGTGCATTTTGCTCATGTAAAGTAAAAGTCTATCACAAACAAAAAGTTTACATGAATTATTTTAAAAAAAGTGTACACGAACTTTCCAAGAAAACAAAATCATTTTTGTTTAAATACATTAAGCTTAACATCATCGCTAATATATATTTTTAGAAAAAAAAATTAAGCCCTTCAGGCTCCACACATCTTCTACCAAAGTTCTCCTCTTAAACTCCATCTCCTTTTGGTTAAAAAAAAAAAAACTGCATCTCCTTAAATGGTTTATGTAAGAAAACGCTAATGGCACAACAAAAGTTGTAAAGTATATCAAGATCACCAAAACTTAATAAGCAAAATTACCAAAATCTGTCTTGAAAAACTGTTTAAAAGGAATCAAAAATGCATTTTTAAATTTTAGTCCAGACATTATGCTTTTATTGAAAAGTCTAATCTCAAGAGAATTATCTCAAGGTTTTCTTGTTCCCAAAGGAAATGGTATCTATTGTAGACTTCATTTGAGGCCATGTCACCTAAAGTTCAATAACTGCAATTCAATCACACTTTAAAGCCTTTCACCTCCATAAAACAATTGAAGATATGAGTTTTAAGATAGCCAAACCTCTTCTTTCCACTAAAGCAGGCAATTACTTCTAAAATGTAGTAATATAAATAATGTGACATCATTGACCTTAGATACTTGTTTCTCACTTGCAATTTTGAGACACAACATAACTCCTTGCAGGTAAAATCTTCCTTACACAAATGTCTCTACCAAAGATGATATTAACTCAAAAAATGAATAGACATACCTTTGAGAATGTCTGGACAAATCTGCATACGTGCAGCACTTCACAAGCTAATTAAAATAGAGAATAAAGATCATGATTATGATATTTTAATACAAAAATATTAACATAAGAGATGGAATATAATTTGTACTTACCATTCCCGTGAACAATATTGATACAATCCCAGACATGCCAAGACCTTATGCAAGAATGGACCTGAAGAAGAAAAGAAATGACATTCAAAAGGAAGCCATACTTTATATATAACTTAGTCCACAAAAAAAAAATTATGTTTCAACGTGAAAGTTGTAATGTTTGATTTGACATTATCAGAACGACACTCTTACATGCCATTGTGATAATCAG